AGTGGCAATTTAGTGCTTCTTTTAAGCAAACTATTACCAAGGCTGGACTGACAAAGAATCTGATTAAACCATCAAATGTCTATGATGAAACATTGATTACAATTAACATTCACTCATAGATAAAAATCTGCAGAAAATTGTCGAGTAGGCAGAAAATTGTGGAGTCAGGAATAGCCGCAGACAATGAAAACTTTGATATATTATATATACAAGTACTGTACAAGAACATAGGTTTAATATACAATTCAGGGTATTATTACTCCGTGTTGTCATATAAATCACAAATTTTGTCAATAATAAATCAGATAAACGTATGTTTTAGTTTATATTTTAAGATGTTTTAGATATAAACATTCATGTTAAAAGATATGATTGGTCTTTTCTGTATATTAATAATATATAATGTTTATGAAAGGAAATTCTGAACACATGGTTATTTTCATTTTATACCAAAGATTTATATTTATCAGGAAATATATATGTAAAATTACTTCCTCTTACTTATAAGTATAATAAGATGTTTAATTCCTAAAAGGGATATAAAATATGAAATTACCTTGTAACTCCAGGGCATGATTTTAGTTACATCTCGTCTTCTTAATTTCACATTCATATACGTACCTGTAATTAATTTTCTTGGATTTTAACAGCAACACTGTAAAGATCATACTGCATCTTTCCATTACTTTATTGGTGAAGAAACACCAGACAGGTGCCCCTTGATCTTTAAGCATTTGTTATGCTATAAAAAATTAGCTATTTTCTTGTTATATTTTATATTGTGTATATTAAATAAGTGAGTGAAATATTTGTATTGAATTTCATTTTAAATTTTATTTTGTATTTTCTGATTTCAAAAAATTTATATATGATAAAAATAAATTATACCTTTTTTTCTTTGTTAAATCTCAAGTACATTTATGTGGTCAATTAGAATGTCTCAAACAGGTGACATGTTGTTACAGAGAAGCCAATGTGCTAAAAACCTTTTACACTAGACAAAGAATTGCAAAATGCTTGTTATATTAACATCTGTGATAAACTTTATTCTTTTAAAAACATAGACAATTAAATTTACTAATAGTGATTAGAAAATATGTAAGTTATTTCTCAAGTATTTTCAGAATTAAGCCAGATCTTGTAGTTCCGCCTCTCCAGAAATAATGTTTAATCATTGGTCAACTAACGTGTTATGCTATAAAAAATTAGCTATTTTCTTGTTATATTTTATATTGTGTATATTAAATAAGTGAGTGAAATATTTGTATTGAATTTCATTTTAAATTTTATTTTGTATTTTCTGATTTCAAAAAATTTATATATGATAAAAATAAATTATACCTTTTTTTCTTTGTTAAATCTCAAGTACATTTATGTGGTCAATTAGAATGTCTCAAACAGGTGACATGTTGTTACAGAGAAGCCAATGTGCTAAAAACCTTTTACACTAGACAAAGAATTGCAAAATGCTTGTTATATTAACATCTGTGATAAACTTTATTCTTTTAAAAACATAGACAATTAAATTTACTAATAGTGATTAGAAAATATGTAAGTTATTTCTCAAGTATTTTCAGAATTAAGCCAGATCTTGTAGTTCCGCCTCTCCAGAAATAATGTTTAATCATTGGTCAACTAAGTTAAACCAATGGACAGTGAGAGAACCCCTTAAAAGATCCCTTTTCCAGCTGGCAGATTCTGCCTGATTAGTAACTATATGTGTTGACAAATTAAATAAAAGCTGGAAAAGTGGATTAAACTTTCTTATATTTTTATATCTAGGTAAGTTGTATTTTTATTCTATGTACATTTTGTAAATGTTTGATGTTAAACAACTAAAATTTAGTTAAGAACACTAAGCTGTTCTTATTTTGAATACTTGAAAATATAATTATGTTATGTTAAAAACTTTGTTAAAAACTTCAGGTAACAAGATGTTACTTAATATATTTGAATATATTCTATTTTTGTCTTAAAAGCAATTCGAGTAAATGAAAGTAAAACTTACTTTCATTGATATGTCAAAATTTAAATATTATGTTATTATATTAGATCATTCTGCCTGATTAAACTATATGTGTTGACAAATTAAATAAAAGCTGGAAAAGTGGATTAAACTTTCTTATATTTTTATATCTAGATATTCCCCATTGTGAAAGATTGTGGGCTTCTGATTATAAGCACTTTTATAAGCTAAGTAAATATATAAGATTAATCTCATATGAATCATTAAGCAGGATTCAATTGGTGTTTGGACTTTACACCTCCTGGATGTTTCATCCCTGGACGTTTCACCCTCAAAACCCTGGTCTTTTCATCTCCACTTTATAAATTTGATAAATATGAAATAGTGAAAAGAGTCGACATTCACAAATAGTCACTTCAGTGAAAACAGTGAAAAAACAAATGAAAACTTGCAAGGTTGAACTAGTGAAAGTGTACAGTGTACAGTACATATTGTATTATAGTAATCATTGTGATTAGTCCAAAATGTTTTATATTATTATAGATTTTTAATATTTTGTATTATATACACACAGTATTATATAAAAGAAAATTCAATGTTAGTACATTTAATTTATTTACTTACATGATTTTTAATATTTTAACCTTTTTTTACAAGAGAGTATTTTTCTATTAAAGTATTTAATTTGAAATAATTGGTAATTGTTATTGTATAGTGCATACATTGTAGATATAGTAATTGACTATGAATAAAATTTTGTAATAATCTGATCATTTTGTTTTTATCTGTTTTTCATACATTGATACATATTTGGTAAATTTTATTTGAACAAGAATGTCATTTTTTAAATAAAATTTCTTCATTATAAATTTAAAAAAACAAGTATTCTCTCAATGTCTATCATGCAAATTTATATGATATTGAGTTATCTCAATCATCACTCAATATAATCCAATTAAGGTGTAACAACTAAGGTATGTCAAACAAGTTTACTGATATTAATCCATACAGTATACAATATTATTTATAAAAAAAAGTAGCCGAAACGTCTACGAGGTGTACAGACCAAAGGTGAAACGTCCAGGAGGTGTAAAGACCAAAGGTGAAATGTCCAGGAGGTGTAAAGTCCTGAAATCATTCAATTTAACCACAGTGATCAGGACAAGAGCAAGAAATCATGGACTTTGATCACTCTACCAATCTAAAACTTATAATTTAGTTGATTCAGTTATGTTACCAATTAGGGATGCTGAAGATTTTTATAAGGAAAATTATGGCCAAACAATTATATAATAGCTATAATACTTCAATTATACTTTACAGGCTTCTGAAAGAGATGTGTTTTATTTTATGAAAGTTGAGATTATTGACATTTTGTTTTATCCCTATTTTATGGTAGAGAGCACAAAATGTGACATGTTTAACATGGTAGAAAAAGTTAAGGTCCGGTGGTAAAGTAAGCATAATGTTTTAACATTGGGAGAGTATGTTGGGATTATATGATTTGTTGCATGAGAGAACAGATTGCATGTTGGCTATTGATTTCGAGAGTAAACAGCACATTCTGTAAAGAATACATCTGCCCACATCATTATGTTAATACATTTAATTTTAGTTATTGTTATCTGATAAAATGTTTAGCAAATCAGTAAATTTATCCTAATTTTATGTTTGTGTGTTTTTCCTTTTTTCTTTTCTTTCTTCAAAATAAGTAGGTACTGATTGCAAACCATTTACAATGATCAAGAATGTTGTAGTAAAAATAATCCATGGTACATGTATATTCAACTGCATCATGATCATGGTGTATAGCTTCTACCATCTATTAAATGCCTTCATGAAAATTAAAATGTTTTAAAATACCTTAAGATTATAGCCTAAAGTAAATTGGTAACAATTGAGTTAATTCAATGATAAAACGCACCTTTGATGGTGTACACAGACCAGTCATTATTGTGTAATATTATGCACCATTTAATTTGCTGTTCATGCAGTATTGATTGGATTCACCATTTTAACTATAGCTTCTGGAAAAGCACATCTGTGCTTTACATCATATTTAATTGCCAGCTTATAACATTATGACTGTAGGCTGTGTCTCTGATGGATTGATATGATTATTAACTCGCAGGCTCAGAATTTTACTCCCTGAGTTAGCCAAGTTACTGTTACTTTGCAAGCTTTAAAATACAAATGTTGAGTTACTGTTAGTTTGCAAGCTTTAACGTACAAATGTCGGTGATGCGACTATAAAGAATTGATTTTGAGCAAAAATCAATAACATAGTGATCCATGTAGATATTACATGTTTGAGCAGAGCTATTATGCTATTTGTACTTTATTGCTTCAGGAGCAAATTATCCCTGTTGTTGGGATATAGAGAGAAATACATGACTCACCACCAACCTTTGTGATTTTCCAATATAACACTGTCAAAGGGAATGAAATAAGATACACAACAGATAGTTTGAATGTTGCATTAATAAACAATTTAATGTGAAGGAATTCTGGGATTCCCTGAAACAGAATATTGAGTGTCTTCTCCATTTTCATAATGTTTGCATAGCGTCATACTTGATAATAATTTTGTATAATTTGTACATTACTTCTTCTCTATATTAAATTTGAGCAGAAATTGACTGGTTCCAGACAATGTAATTTTTAGTATAGTTATAAACGTATGCTGGCAAGTTTATTTACATAAAAAAAAGAGAAAAAACAGCAGCATCATCAGTCTCAGAAGTCTGACAAAGCTTATAGAAGGTTGTTTTAGTCATTACATCTTGTATTATGAATACAGATCAATACAGGAAACAAAGCTTATTTAAAATCATATGATAACATCACAAAGAATCTCTAATATTCTAAATAAAATCTCTGGTGTATGTAATACCTTAAAATACACCAGTGCCTATGTTGATTTTCAAATTTCAAAGGAGCTTGAAAATAAATGCCTATATCTCAATTTCGATGTTTCATTTACATACAATGAAAGTTCTATTTTAATTTTTGTTATAATTTTGTATATTTTCAGTGGTCTATTCTCCGCTGGGATTCAAACAAAGTACTTCAAGGAGCCGCAATCACAAGTTATAGAAAAGGTAAATTGAACACATATATCATATTGCTTGCAGTCAGGTCTTGTATATGCACAGTTCATCTCACAAATGTAACAAATAACTTGATCATAATTTCTAAATAAGGTATTAGTTTTGGTACTCATGAGTATCTCATTGTGCAATCATTTAGAGTTTTATCCAGCAATAAGTATTTATTTTATAGTGTTTTATCAAAACAAGACAACGTCCCTTTTACAAGAACATGAGGCTTGAAAAAGGTGGTAATTAAAGAGCCTTTTAGACCTCAAGAGTTTGACATGATAGCCACTTAGCTTAATCAGGGGTTCCTGGTTTGATCCTCAGACCTCCGGCAATTTACCTCAAGAGTTTGACATGATAGCCACTTAGCCAATCAGGGGTTCCTGGTTTGATCCTCAGACCTCAGGCAAGGTGTTCTCCATGACATTTGATCTCGAGCAATTAGTCTGATGGTTATTTTTTCTCTCACCAAGTTGGAAGTTTAAATTATGTGTAGGCTCTATATTGAAACACTGTCATCAATAAAGAAACCCTTTTAAAGTTTTAGAAGGTATTTTGATGAGTCTGACTAAAAATTAAAATGATACATCAAATTCGGTGTATGGTATAATTTATATGCATCAAATCAACAGCTTTATGGTCTTTCTCTAAACAACATATTTCTTTAACTTTCTGTCTTAATTGGCATTAAGTCCCTTTTATTAATGCATTATCAGATTTTTATACATTCAATATTAAACATTGAGGTACTTGATATAGATGTATCATTATATCAATATATCAATTATGCAGATTTAATTTACAAAATACCTAGAGAAAGGAATCTGTTACCAGGGAAAAGAATCAGTTACAAATTACCATGTAGAAGAGTACCTAGGGGAAGGTTACAGGTTCATGATGTTGATAACATGTGATATATATCAGCCATCAATGATATATTCTGTCATATATCAGGTACAAAGTTCACATCACTGAACTCATAACTGTCAGCATATCACAATATAAAGGAAATCTATCATTGTATCTAATATATATTTATCCTACAGGCAGTATCATTCTCAGCTTTAATTGCCCTGCAAGAAATTGGCAATTCTTGAAAATTCTACAATTGATTTTTTTTTCAAACTTTTCTTAATATATCTTGAGATTTTAATTGTCTTAACTATTAAATCTGAACCAAACAAGGACCATTGAACTGTGGTCTGTGGTGAATAACTTGTTCCCAAACAGGGCTGTGAAACTGTGGTCTGTAATGAATAACTTAAAAACAAACAAGGACAACTGAACTATGGTCTGAGGTTATTAACTTTGAAACAAGTAAGGACCATGACAGATAAGGTCTGTGAATGACAGAAAAGGACCATGACAAATCGTAAGGACTGTGAATGGCAGAAAAGGACCATGACAGATAAGAACTGTGAATAACAGAAAAGGACCATGACAGATAAGGACTGTGAATGACAGAGAAGGACCATGACAAATCGTAAGGACTGTGAATGGCAGAAAAGGACCATGACTGATAAGAACTGTGAATAACAGAAAAGGACCATGACATATAAGGACTGTGAATGACAGAAAAGGACCATGACAAATTGTAAGGACTGTGAATGACAGAAAAGGACCATGACAAATTGTAAGGACTGTGAATGACAGAAAAGGACCATGACAAATCGTAAGGACTGTGAATGACAGAAAAGGACCATGACAAATCGTAAGGACTGTAAATGATAAGAACTGTGAATAACAGAAAAGGACCATGACAGATAAGGACTGTGAATGACAGAAAAGGACCATGACAAATCGTAAGGATTGTGAATGGCAGAAAAGGACCATGATAGATAAGAACTGGAAATAACAGAAAAGGACCATGACATATAAGGACTGTGAATGACAGAAAAGGACCATGACAAATCGTAAGGACTGTGAATGACAGAAAAGGACCATGACAAATTGTAAGGACTGTGAATGACAGAAAAGGACCATGACAAATCATAAGGACTGTGAATGACAGAAAAGGACCATGACAAATCGTAAGGACTGTGAATGACAGAAAAGGACCATGACAAATTGTAAGGACTGTGAATAACAGAAAAGGACCATGACAGATAAGGACTGTGAATGGCAGAAAAGGACCATGACAGATAAGGACTGTGAATGACAGAAAAGGACCATGACACTATGCTTTATGGTAATGTACTTTGAAACAAACAAGGGGCACAGCAACACTTACAATAGTTTAATTTATAGTTAAAACAACATGATTTTATATCTATCAATTTATCAAACTTTGATTTTTTGTTAACTACTGAGAATCAAACAAGGACCATAAGACTATGGAAAATGATTGAGACTGACTTGTTTCGGGTATATGATTTAAAATTAAATATTTTTATGCCTGTTCTTAACATAAACAAAGAAACCTCTTGAAGTTTTTGGAAGATTTTGGTATTTTGTGGAATAATTTGAGACAAAGGACTTGAAGTTAAATGTGTTTGAACCAAACGATTTCAAAGAGCATTGATTTTAACCAAACTGAAGAATTTCAGTTCATGGTATTAAATGTTTAATTGAAAAAATAAAAATATGACTTTGTCAAATAAATTACATCAACTGAATAAAAAAAGTTTTGTAAATGTTATTTTTTTCCTCTTCAGTTTTCTTTTCAATTTTTATATTCAACAACAATGTTTTGGACATAAATTTTCTAATTTAATGATTAGATTTTAGTGCCATATTTTTATTATTTTATGATTATGTTCACAATTTTAAAGTAAAAAAATGTGTTAACTAAATTAGAAAATATTGTCAGTCAATAGTTTTAATGACAAAATTCTGTCTTATAACCTTTAACATCAATTATGATTCCTACCGTTAACTTGGTGCTCAAATTTCTGTCAGAAATGGAGCACAGCCATCACATCACTCACACTCATAACTGCCAGGCACGCTTGATTATATCTCAGAACAAATTCCATTGTGCTATTAAGTAAAAATTCATTTACTCAGAACAAGAGGAGAAACTTGTGTTTTTGCCCTACAATTTGCTGAAAATTCCAGGCAATCTCGTGTTCTGATGGTTTATGTTTTGTGAAGAAACTGTAAAAACCATCAAAAACACTCCAGTAGTAAGACCCTCTAACTAACAGAGGAAAAAATGGTATGTTTGTGATCTCTTTTATTTCTTACATGTTTGTTGTTTTTTGAGTCTTTTTTTGAGTATAGACACTATACTTTATTATCTTATGAAAAAGGGTAGAGTAGCAACAATGGTTGAATATCTGTTACCTTGCGTAAGGAAATTGTCATGGCAATTAGAACTGTTCACAGATTATTAGGAGCAGCCTGAGGAAACTAAGTTGTAGAGCTGCAGAATGGTAGATTTGAATCCTGGTCAAATTGCACAATTTTGTTGTCTTTCTTTGACATTTAGCATTCAACATTGGTTGGATATAGTATGAAGCTTCGAGTCAATTAACATTCTTAATATAAAAGAAATTCATGTACAAATTTGTACATGTATATAGTTAGGGAATAATGTAACAATATAGAATTTATAATTGGGCAAAAATGTGTAAGCAGCAATTTTAAGTAGCTTAATATATATAGACAGCCAGAAGGTCATGAGTTTGACTCCCAGTCAGCTTGTACATTTTTCTCATCCAGAGGTAAACTTGTCTGCTCACTAAGAAACATCGTCGGATACCCACGGCCGAACCATTAACATTCAGATTGCATGTTATGTAACATGTTTATCAATCGTGGGTATCCGACGATGGCTAAGAAACTGCCATTGATACTTTCAGAAGGTGTTTCTGTATGAAGTATTAATAATTTTTTTTTAGTAAAACAAACATTTGATTGTCTGAGATTAGACTGTGTAGATGTTGAATAATGGAATATTCTGTTGCAAATTGCTGAAGCGGTTATCATTTCTTTTTTTACATTAAAGAAATAACAATTAGGTTTTTGATTCAAAAGCTCGTCAAGCTATGTTTTCAGCACTTACATGATTTTCCACATGTTCATTATAACTTCTCATGAACCAGTGACTGTCTGCAGTCAATATGGTGTAGGACATTAAATAGCATAAGATATCAATATGTCTTAAACTAAGTCTTGCATGGCATTACTGTTTTGAAAAGTCATAAAGTTCACTTTCCAAATATACACGTAGACAGTTATAAATTTTATGTGAAATTCAACTTAGCCAAAAATACACGTGCAGCACCATCTGCAGGATAATTTTTTCTTTGCTTTCAGTAATGAAACGGCTTCTTATCTGAGGCAAAGAATATCAGATCTTTTTGGAAATAAGAAAGGCGTTTTCAAATAAAAAAATATTAATAGAAAAAATATTTTTGTAGGTATCTAGGTTAAAAGATTTATGCCAAGATAAAGGAAAATAGTTTTTTTTTTGTGAAGAAAAAAATGCAAGTTCTGAAAGTCTTTGAGAATTTTCATATCAATAATGTTGAACCTTGGTGCAATTTAGTGAAAACTATACTAGATATTTGCTTCAATATTAAATTTGTTAGTGCATTAAGCAATATCAGATTTGAAAGTCATCTGATTAACTTGAAAAACTATGATTTTCATTGGCTCATATTTTCCTATGTTAGAGTTATGCCAAAGAGATTTTATTGCCCAAGGTTTGTCAAGGTCTTAAAGCTAAAAATGCCATTTTTTTGACATACCTATTTTAAGAATTGATCTGAGATTATGGTCCGTATTGGGAACAAGTTATCCACCACACACTATAGTTTAATGGTCCCTTCTTATATACGTGTTCTCTTAATGATTAATAATGCCTAACACAACTATACAATCATGTTCCATTTATCATGTTTTCTTTATTCTACACAATCATGTTCTTTTTATCATGCCTTAGAAGAATACACAATCATGTTCTTTTTATCATGCCTTAAAAGACTACTCAATCATGTTTTCTTTATTCTACACAATCATGTCCTTTTTATCATGCCTTAGAAGAATACACAATCATG